GTAATAATATCTGTATTATAAGGATACCAGAAGGAGATGAAGAGGAGCAAAGGATAGTCTGAAAAAGTAATGATAGAAAACTTCCCTAACTGGAGGAGAGAAAAAGTCACACAAGTCCAGGAAGCACAGAGGGTCCTATTCAAGCGGAACTCAATGAGGCCCACTCCAAAACACATCATTAAAATGCCAAATATCAAAGACAAACAGAGAATCCTAAAGCAAGCAAGAGCGAAAGAGGTAGTAACATGCACGGAGCCATGATATGGCTAGCAGCTGACTTCTCAACAGAAACACTACAAGCCAGAAGGGAAATGCAAGAAATATTGCAAGTAAAGAAAAACAAAGGCCTGCAACCAAAACTGCTCTACCCAGCAAAGCTCTCAATTAAAATGGAAGGCAAAATAAGGGGTTTCCCAGACAAAAGAAGGCTAAAAGAAATCACCTCCATCAAAGCAGCACTGCAAGATATGCTAAAGGGACTGCTTTAAGAAGATGAAGTAAAAAAGTAAGAAAGAGAGGAACAGAGGTACAAATAAAAAAAATGCATAAGGACTTATCAATAAAACTTTAAATGTAAATGGATGAAATGCCCCAATCAAAGGACATAAGATAGCTGAATGAATAAGAAACCATGACTCACATATATGCTGCCTACAAGAGACCCACCTCAGAATAAAGGACCTACAATGACTGAAAGTAAAGCGATGGAAAAAAATATCCCAAGGAAATGGACAGGAAAAAGAGCCAGGGTAGCAATACTCCTATCAGACAACATAGATTTCCAAACAAAGGCCATTAAAAGAGATACAGAAAGACACTTCATAATACTGAAAGGAGGAATCGATCAAGAAGACATAAACATTGTAAAGCATTATATGCATCCAACACAGGAGCACCCAAATATATAAGGAAATTCTTGGAGGACTTCAAGAAAGATATAGAGAGCAACACAGTGATAGTAGGGGATTTTAACACCCCACTGTCAAAATGGATAGATCTTCCAAATAAAACATCAACAAGGATATTGTGGAAATGAATGATGCATTAGATCGAATGGACTTAACTGATATATATAGAACCTTTCATCCCAAAGAAGCAAATTACATATTCTTTTTAAATGTACATGGACAGTTTCAAAGATAGACCTCATGATAGGACACAAAATAAGCCTCAATAAATTCAGGAAAATTGAAATCATAATAAACATTTTTTTGGGCCACAGGGACTTGAAAGTGGAAATCAACCTCAAGTAAAAAACTCAAAACCATTCAAACTCATGGAGACTGAATAGCATGCTATTAAACAACGAATGGGTCAATAAAGAGACCAAGGAAGAAATAAAAAAAATTACAGGAAACAAATGAAAATGAACACACAACTGTCCAAAACCTATGGGACACAACGAAGGCAGTCCTGAGAGGGAAGTTTATAGCAATACAGGCCTACCTAAAAAAGAGAGAAACATTTCAAATAAATGACCTTACCCTACATCTTCAAAAACTGGAGAAACAACAACAAACAAAATGCAGAGTGAGTAGAAGGAAGGAAGTAACCAAGATCAGAGCAAAATGGAATGACATAGAGACTATAAAAACAATTCAAAGGATCAACAAATCCAGGAGCTGGTACTTTGAACAGATAAACAAAACCAACAAGCCTTTAAGCAGACTCATCAGGAAAAAATGGGAGAGAACTCAAATAAATAATATCAGAAATGAAAGAGGAGAAATTACAACTGATACCACAGAAGTACAAAGGATTGTAAGAAATTACTATGAACAATTCTATGCCAAGTAATTTGAAAACCTGGGTGAAATGGACCAATTTCTAGAAAAATATAACTTTCCAACACTGAATGAAGAAGAAGCAAAAAGCCCAAACAGACCAATAAGCGTAATCAAAAACTGAAGCAGTAATACAAAAACTCCTGGCACACAAAAGCCCTGGACCAGACGGTTTCACAGGAGAATTTTACAAAACATTTAAGGAAGAGCCAACCCGTCCTTCTCAGACTATTCCAAAAAATACAAGAAGAGGGAAGACTCCCAAACTTTTTTATGAGGCCAGCATCACTGTAACCCCAAACCAGATAAAGACAACAAAGAGAAATCTACAAGCCAATATCGCTGATGAACGTAGACACTAAAATCCTCAACAAAATATTGGAAAACCATATCCAACAATACATTAAAAAGATCATCCACCGTGGTCAAGTGGGATTCATCCCAGGGATGCAAGAATGGTTCAATATTCACAAGTTAATAAACATAACACATCACATAAACAAAAGGAAATATAAAAACTACATGATCATATCAATAGATTTAGAAAAAAAATATTTGATAAGGTACAGCATCCATTGATGATAAAAACACTCAGGGAAGTGGGAATAAATGGGACATACCTCAACATAATAAAGGCCATATATGAAAACACCTACAGCTAACACCATACTCAATGGACAAAAACTAAAGGGTTTCCCACTAAGATCGGGAACAAGACAAGGTTGTCTGCTTTCAACACTTCTGTCCAACATAGTACTGAAAGTCTTAACACAGCAATCAGACAAGAAAAAGAAATAAAATTCATCCAAATCAGAAAGGAGGAAGTAAAATTATCATTGTTTGCAGATGACATGATTGTGTACATAGAAAACCCTATAGATTCTGCCAAAAAACTACTTGACCTAATAAGTGAATTTGGCAAAAGAGTGGGATACAAAGTCAATATTCAGAAATCAAATGCACTTTTGTACACCATAATGAAATATCAGAATCAGAAATCAAGGGGAAAAATTCCCCTTGCTATAGCAATAAGAAAAATAAAATAACCTAGGAAGAAACTTAACCAAGGAGATAAGACACCTGTACTCAGAAAACTACATAACACTGAAGAAAAAAATTAAGGAAGACACAAATAAATGGAACCATATACCATGTTCATGGATTGGAAGAATTAATATCATCACAATGTCCATACCACCCAGAGCAATTTATAGATTCAATGCAATTCCTATTAAAATACAAATGATGTATTTCACAGATATAGAACAAAATGTTTCAAAAATTTATATGAAACCATAAATGACCCTGAATAGCCTCAACAATTTTGAGAAAGAAGAACAAAGTAGGAGAGATCACAATACCTGACATCAAACTATATTACAAGGCCACTCTAATCAAAAAAGTCTGATACTGGCAATAAGAACAGATAAATAGATCAATGGAACAGAATAGAGAGCACAGAAAGAAAGCCATGTCTCTGTGGTCAATTAATATTTGACAAAGGGGGCAGAAGCATAAAATGGGGCAAAAATAGCCTCTTCAACAAATGGTGCTGGGCAAGCTGGACAGCTACATGCAAAAAATTGAATTTCAACCACCAACTTACCCCATACACAAAAATATACTCAAGATGAATAAAAGACTTAAATATAATTCAAAACACCATAAAAATCCTAGAGGAGAACATAGGCAGGAAACTCTCAGATATTCCACCCAGCAATATTTTCACCAATATGTCCACTAAAGCAAGGGACATAAAGGAAAGCATAAACAAATGGGACTTCATGAAAATAAGTTTCTGCAGAGCTAAAGAAAACATCAGCAAAATGAAAAGGGAACCAACCATATGGGAAAATATATTTGCCAATGATACCTTGGAGAAGAGTTTGATCTCCAAAATATATAAAGAACTCACAGGACTCCACTCCAGGAAGGCAAATAATCCAATTAAAAAATGGGCAAAGGACCTGAACAGACACTTCTCCAAGGAGGACATACACAGGACCCAAAGACATATGAAAGGATGCTCATCATCTTTAGTTATCAGAAAGATGCAAATTAAAACCACAATGTGATACAACTTCACAGCATTCGGAATGGCCATCATGAACTAATCAACAAACAAGAAGTGCTGGTGAGGTTGTGGAGAAAAGGGAACCCTAGTACATTGTTGGGAATGCAGACTGGTGCAACCACTGTGGAAAACAGTTTGGGATTTCCTCAAAAAGCTAATAATGGAACTACCTTTAGACCTAGAAATTCCACTGCTGGGATTATACCCTAAGAACCCTGAAACATCTATTCAGGAGAACCTATGCACCCCAATGTTCATAGAAGCACAACTTACAATAGCCAAATGCTAGAAGCAATCTAAGTGCCCATCAATAAATGAGTGGATCAAAAATCTATGGTACATTTACACAATGGATTACTACGCAGCAGAAAGAAAGAAGGAACTCCTACCCTACATGACAGCATGGATGGAACTGGAGAGCATTATGCTAAGAGAAATAAGCCAGTGAGTGAAAAACAAATACCATATGATCTCACTTATAAGCAGGACCTAATCAACAAAACAAAAAAGCATGAAAAATATAACTAGCAACACTGAAAGAAAAGACAAATGGACAGTAATGAGAGGGGAGGAGGGAGGGAGGTAATAGGAAAAGAAAGGGAAGGGTCCAAACAAGGAACATGCATAAGGGACCCATGGACAAAGTCAAAGTGGAGAAGAATTGAGGGTGGGAGTTAGTGGTGGGTGGAGCAGGGGAATGTGGTGGTGGAAAAATGGATACAAATATATTTGAACAATAAAAAATAAATTAAAAACAAGAATTGAACTGAATTTCATGATGTCCAGCCAGTGTCAGAGAATTGGGAGAATTGATTGGTGTCAGGAAACATCTCATACTGCATTTATTCTCTTGGTGTGAAAAGAGTTCAGTTTGGGTTTCCTTCTTCTTGAGTGTTCAAACCAGAAGATGCCACCTCTGGAGAAATGATAAGGATCTCAGCCTAGCCTAGCAGGAGGGATGTGAAAGGCAGACAGAATGACCTAACAGGGGGCTAGTGTTTGGGCCATTATGTGTCACATTGACCCTGACCAGCCATGTGGACACACTAGGGTGAGATTTTCCTGACTTCCAGGAGCCTTATTCCTGCCTGAGATGCTCATAGAGAGACCATGAGCCCTGAAAAGCACTATATTGTTTTGTGATGTCACCTCTGGAATGTTCTGAGTGTTTTGGTGACCAACTTCTGCATAGGACCTATACCTGGCACCTAACATTGGTATGACTTTTTACTTGAGATAAAAAATAATACTCTTAGAAAAGAGTTTTGTAAGGCTTTGACACCCAACTATAATACCTACCTTAATTTTTGTTCAGATATTGACAAATCCCCTTATCAGATATCATCTTAATATTCTTTCAAACTCAGTTTTTCATAATGTATATAATTTACAAGAGGAGATAAATGAGTAGAAAGTCCTCTATTTTACAAATAAGGTAATTGAGATCCAGTGATGTGCTGAGAAGCAGACATGTTATTTTCTCTTTTTAATAGCACTCGAGGCCACATTTTACAAGAAAAGGAGATGCCAGATCTGAAAGCCTAGAGATTCCAATCAATGTGGTTCTACCTCAGGTATGGATAATCACAGAAGGATGTAAACTATCAGGTTTAGCCAGAATAACCCTCCTCTTTCAAAACTCTAGTGAGATGTCATAGAACGAGCAGAGTACTCAGGACCTTGATTTTAATTGCAGGTCAGCTGCCAACCAGCTGTGTGCATTGCTGAGGCCACTTAGCCACTGTAGATCTTGAGTCCCTCATCCCTAGAATGAAGAGAGTGGGTTAGGTGATCTGTAAGACCTTCTAGTCCTTACCCATGATACTCTGAAATAAGCCAATCTTCTGAAAATGATGCCTTTTCGTACTTGTTATTGTTCAACCACTCTATTACTGGAGGAGAATTAGAACTGGGGTGTGGAATCAAATACATGTAACTGAATCCATGAGAAGAAAACCTAGTACATTACATCAAGGGGTACAGGGTCATTTGGAGGTGTCAAGAAAATTAAGATCTGCTGTATATCAAAGACAGAGTATAAGGGGGTGGGCACAGAACAGGGGGTGATGAAAGGAGGAAGTCTTGACAGGCTGGAGGTTCTTAGGTCTCCTTCTGCTAAGCAGCCACTTCTTTGATGGGGTTTTTCTGATTGGATTGTTTCTACTGCTGTTATGTCACAAAGGGGGCAACCTTACTTATCCATAGTCACCTAGGGTCCTGTTCGAAGACCATGGCGGTGCCACCAGAGGGGCTGAAATGTAGGGTGGAGGAGTCCAGTGCAGAGGTAACTATCTGAAAGCTCTGTTCAGGGATGTGTTATGGACAGCATTGATCACAAGTATATATATATACTTCTGTATACACACACACATACACATAATCAGCTTTTCAGAAGAACACCATTAGAAAACCTTCAGCATTCCTTCTATAGGTGGAGCTAACTGTAACAATCTAGCAAGTATATTCAACAGGAGGAAAAAAATATAGGACAAAAAATATTCTGGCTATTTCACATTTTCCTATAACTTTGTGTTGAACAGCTACTTCTCTGAAGCTTAGAACACAAGCTAACTTTCTCTGGATCATTAGACAGGATGGCTTCCCACAGGGTTCCTACAGCTGTAGGAACCTAGATTTAGGTCTAATTCTTTCCACCTGAAATACATGTGTTGCTCTGTTAACCACTACTCTCTTGATGGTGGGTGTTGCTCCCTCGATTTGTTGACAGCTCAGATAAATCAGTTTGTTTTGCCAAAGGATAGGCAGAAGGTGCCAACCTCAGGATGGGTTTGGGGATGGGGGCCCAGAACAGGATTTGAAATAGTCATTATGTGATAAAAAGATAGCAAGATAGCATAACTCTCCCTGTCTACCTCCCAGAAACAACCCAACATTGAGAAGGAGAGAAGGAGAACAGAAATGGAGAGTGCTTTAAAAAGGTTCAACTGCTGGTGTGGTTCAGTTGGTTGGAGCGTTGTCCTGTAAACTGAAACGTGTGGGTTGGTTCTGGTCAGGGTGCATATGAGAGGTAAATAGTTGATGCTTCTCCTGCATTGATGTTTCTCTCCCTCTCCCTTTCCCTCTCCTCCCTTCTCTCTAAAGTCAGTAAGCATGCCCTTGGTGAGGATTAAAAATTAAAAAAGGCTCAAGCCATCCCCTTCAGTGCTGCAGGATCCAGTGCTGCTGCTGGGGTCTGGGAGGGCATGGATAGCATGGAGCGCATGGGTGAGAGGATACCTGCTGCCTGAGTATGTGTACCCCTCATGGGCAGATGTAGCTTCATGGGTACACCTGCCATGCAGAAATCATACATGAGGTTTCAGACACTTGCCAGGATGCTCTGGGCTGGTGCACTGGGGGAGGGGGTATGTGCATTTATAAATTTAGGTTATCTGAACTATGCCACCACCAGGGCTGTTCGGGGGACTGATGAACTTACTGGACCTACTCCAATGACATAGTTCATAGTTGGGGGGTGGGTTGATGTGGTTCGCAAGGGGATGGAGAACTATCAACCAAGTATTGATTTGATCAGGTGTCAGGCCATGCAAGTGTGAGGCAGAGATTGTATAGGTACAGGAACTGGGAAACCCATGAACCCTACTAGTAATAGCAGAGCTGGAGTTAGGGGCTTGAACTCAAGTCAACACTCACTCTCTCTGCTACACTGACTCTCTCTGCTGGGCATATGTCACCTGGCTGGACCAGGTCTTGTCTTAGTTCTCTGCTTCTTCTCTAGCTTTTAGAAAATCCCATCTTCTCTACCCACATCTTACTGTTTGCCCCTGAGTTCCCTGTATGTATCTGCCACATGCTGCTTCAGTCTGGAGCTCAGTCCATTCTTTTTTAAAAGGGAATTACATCAGCAGCTCTTCCCTGAAAGTGCCTCTGGCTTCCCAGCTCCCAATCATGCTGGGCGTTTGGGCTTTCCAAATTACATTCCAAATGCTTATCATTCACTGTTATCATCCTGAGGTCTTTTTAAGTCTTATTGATTTCCAGTTTTTTTCTCACATTAAATATCTGTGTTTTCAATGTCATTCCCTGCCCAAGCCAGCTGACCTTCTTGTTCCTTTTGTACATAATATGCATAGTGATTCAGTTCTCACAGGCATTCACATTTCCTCAATTGAGCACAATCTGAATTACTTGAAGGTGTTGTTTACTGCTAGATCATTAATGAAGGACCTATGCCAGATCAGAAAGCACCCTCCAGGCCCCTCTCATTCTACCCCTCCACCCCCTGAAGTTGCCTTTTCTCAGTCCCATTTGTTTGAGCTTGTTCTTTGGAAGTTATGGAGTCTGCTAACAATATCCATATCTCTGAATTGACTGTTAGAAGGAAGAGTTCATAGGATTCTGTGTTAAATAATTAGCTGAAACTACCATACATGATGACATATTTATCCTCTTTCCTGTTAATGTTATAATTCTATCAAAATCAATCACATTTACCTGTGAATTATCCTCTTACTTGTTCACATTTATTAAAACCAACATTGACTTTATCATGGTATAGGGAGCCGAATTAATATAAAAAATATGATAATGAACCTCAGCCTTGTCACCTCATCTGAAAATTACTGGCATATCTGGCTCTTCCATCATCCTGGGCACCTCAGATTCCCATGCCTGAAAAGTACCTCAGATGGCTGAGTGTTCTTTGACTGTAACCCTCAGTACTGCGAGCAAAGTAGGCATTTAAAACCTCGGTCAACAGTCTTGGAATCTACCAGGCTTTGAACATCCCTTCTGGTTTGTGGTAGCCACACTTTTCTGAGAGTGGAGAGAACTTCAGAGTGTCAGCTAACCTGGCTAGTCACTGTCCAGTCCTGTCCCCAAACCCATTAGATGGGAGGCTGCCAACCCCAGGAAGTCCATTTCAGAAGGTCCCAGTCAGAGAGTCCTATTCCTTAGAAATTCTGTAGCATCAGTAAGACACTTTGGTCTTATCACCTCCCCTTTTCCCTTCCCCTACCCCCCACAATTGGACAACTTTCCTCCATGTTCTCCCCTTGCTAGGAGGCTGGTGATCTGACAAAGACACCCAGTCACTGGTGATTTCAAGTATTTTTCTTTTGGGACCACTTGCATTTAAGGAGATGATAGGGAGAGGGTCAGACCTGGTACCAAGGAAGAACATCCATCCATAGATGACATTCAGGCATCTGTGAGAGATAGGTTTGTGCCCAGGGGGCTCTTCCTGAATCCCAAGCATTAATACATCTTAGGTCACAACTGTGAGTACATTCATCTGAGGACAGAGTCTCTTGGCCACTTCCTAATAAGGCCTGATGGGAAGGTATCATGAACCTCATAGCCTGTTGTATTTCTCTTTTGCATCCATCCTCATATCCCATTCCTCCATGAAGAAGTCAAACATTTCCTCTCCCTCTTATTAGATATGTTCATATGTGAGAATATTTCCCACAGACCATGGAGGAGATAATCTTTCCTCCATGGGAAACTTGGTCCATGTTGCTCTGGAGGCTTGGGCCGTGTTGCCATTGGCTTTGGTTCTACTTCCCAGGCTTAGCAGAACTTCCAGGGGTGTTCCAGGGGCTTTTTGTTGGCTTACCTCTCTCTTTAAAAAAAGATTATATTTATTTATTTATTTTTAGAAAGAGGAAAGGGGAAGGAGAAAAAGAGGGAGAGAAAAATTGATGTGAGAGAGAAACTGATTGGTTGCCTCTCGTATGCTCCCAGACTGGGGACTGAACCCTTAACTCCAGCATTTGCCTTGATGGGGAATTGAGCTAGCGAACTTTCAGTTTGTGGGTCAACACCCAACTGAGTCATACCAGTCAGGGTGGCCCATGTCTCTTATTAGAGCTCAAGGACATCAAGGACAGATTAGTGTAGCTCATAAAACCAACCCAGTAAAAACACTGGTTAAGGTGACCCACTGAGAAGGCGCTGGCTTCAGGTATATGCTAAGGAGTCCTGGGATTTTGTATCTCATGTATTTGTCTAGCTCAGATGCTCATTTTCTGGAAAGCCCTTTTATAAAGAAATATATTCATCATTTGTTATAGGCCAGGAATATTTGTTTAAGCCTTACCAGTAGAACTGGCCATCTGGTCTTTATGACAGCTTGCCTACCACTTCCTTGGCTTCTCATAACCATTTCAGGAAGTATTCAGGGCAGCTACATTTAAGTTCATTTCAGAGGTGACATTCAGAGAAGTGAAGTGACTTTCTGAAGAGTTCTCAAAGGTGTGGGACATTTTAGCCCAAAGTTACTGGGAATTTGAGGCCTCTACACTAATTAGATTATAGGTTCAAGAGGGTGATATGGACAATGAGCACACACAAGGCATTTGTAGGCAGGGGAAACTTCCTTTAAGGACTACACAGATGAACCTACAGTTTTGTAAAATTCACATGTGGAGACCCCCACTTGTTGTAGCATTTATATCATGCAGCAACAGCTCTGCAGTTTAAAAATATAAACTGAAATGAGGACATAGCTTTATCAAATACACTAAGAATATTAAAACAAACAAAACCACCACTTTTGTTGTCCAAAAATGGTAGAATGTTGACAGTTTCACATATTTCAACCTAATAGCTT